GGAGGCTGCCCCTGCGCTGGTGAGGGGAGACCCAAAAACACCCCAAAAACACCTCAAAAACACCCCCAAAAACACCCCAAAAACACCTCAAAACCACCTCAAAAACAGCCCCCAAACCACCCAAAAACCAGTCCCAAAAACCCCCCAGAAACAGCTCCAAAACCACCCCGAAAAAACCCAGAAACTGCTCCAACTGTACCCCAAAACCAAGCCAAAAACCCCAAAAACCTCCAAACCAGCCCAAAACCAGCCCAACCCCCAACAAAAACCCCAAAACCAGCCCAAAACCAGCCCAAAACCAGCCCAAAACCACCCAAAACCCCCCAAAACACCCCAAAATCAGCCCCAAAAATCAGCCCCAAAACCACCCCAAAACCAGCCCAAAAATTACCTCAAAACCACCCCAAAAAGCCCAAGAACAGCCCCAAATTAGCCCAAAACCAGCCCAAAATTCAACCCAAATCCCAGCCCCAAATGAGCCCCAAATGGACTCCAAAACCCACCCAAAAAAACCCCAGAAATACCCCAAAACCAGCTCCAAAAACACCCCAAAAGCAGCTCCAAAACCACCCCAAAAACAGCCCCAAAAACACCCAAAAAAGCCCTGAAACAGCCCCAAATTAGCCCAAAATTAGCCCAAAATTCAACCCAAAACCACCCCAAAATCAGCCCCAAAAGAACCCCCAAAACAGCTCCAAAACCCCCCCAAAATCAGCCCCCAAATCACCCCAAAAACACCCTAGAAACACCCCAAAAAGCCCTGAAACAGCCCCAAATTAGCCCAAAATCCAGCCCAAAATTCAACCCAAATCCCAGCCCCAAAACAGCCCCAAAAAACACCCCAAAAATACCCCAAAAACACCCCAAAAGCAGCTCCAAAGACAGCCCAAAACCACCCCAAAAACAGTCCAGAACCTCCAAAACCACCCCAAAATCAGCCCCAAAACCACCCCAAAAAGCCCAGAAACAGCCCCAAATTAGCCCAAAATCCAGCCCAAAATTCAACCCAAATCAGCCCCAAAACAGCTCCAAAACCACCCCAAAATCAGCCCCAAAAACACCCCAAAAAGCCCAGAAACAGCCCCAAATTAGCCCAAAATTAGCCCAAAATTCAACCCAAAAACCACCCCAAAATCAGCCCCAAAATCAGCTCCAAAACCACCCCAAAAAGCCCTGAAACAGCCCCAAATTAGCCCAAAATTCAACCCAAAACCACCCCAAAATCAGCCCCCCAAAACCACCCAAAAAACTCCAAAAACTCCAAAAACCTCCCAAAACCAGCTCCAAAACCCCCCAGAAACCACCAAAACTCCCCAAAAATCCACTCAAAACACCCGAAAACTGCCCCAAAACCAGCCCAAAAACACACAAAAAATCCCAAATCCACCCCAAATCCACCCCAAAAACCTCTCAAACGCCCCCAAAATAGACAAAAAACCCCCAAAATAGACAAAACCCGCTAAAATAGATAAAAAACACCCCAAAATTCCCCAGAATTCCCAAAAATCCCCCAAAATTCCCAAAAAAACCCCAAAATTCCCCCAAAATCCCCCAAAATTCCCCCAAAATCCCCCCAATTTCCCCAAAATCCCAAAAAATTCCCCCAAAATTCCCCCAAATTCCAAAAAAATCCCCCCAAATCCCCCAAAAAATCCCCAAAAATTGCCCCAAAATTCCCAAAAATCCCCCAAAATTCCCCCAAAATCCCCCAAAAATTCCCCCAAAATTCCCCAAAAATTCCCCCCAAATCCCCCCAAATTCCCCCAAATTTCCTCAAAAATTCCCCAAAAATTGCCCCAAATCCTCCAAAAATCCCCCAAAATCAAAAAAATTTCCCCAAAATTCCCCCAAATCCCCCGAATTCCCCAAATCCTGCTCCGATTCCCTCTCCCTTCCCAAATTCTCCATTCCTGAGTTTTTTATTTGCATTTTCCCCATTTTTTACCATTTCCCCCCATTTTTATTTTACATTTTCACCGTTTTTCGTGGATTTCTCAGTTTTCCCCCAGATTTCTCCCAATTTCCCGGGGATTTCTCTGGAATTCCAGGGAATTTCCACCCCAAACCCTCAATTCCCTTCATTTTTACCGCAATTCCCCCTTTTTTATTTGCGTTTTCCCCATTTTTTACCGTTTTCCCCCCATTTTTTCCATTTTTCTCCCATTTTTTTTTTTGATTTTCCCATTTTCCCGGGATTTTGCCCCAATTTCCCGGGGATTTCTCTGGAATTCCAAGAAATTTCCACCCCAAACCCTCAATTCCCTTCATTTTTTACCGCAATTCCCCCTTTTTTATTAGCATTTTCCCCATTTTTTTACCGTTTTCCCCATTTTTCGTCATTTTTCCTCCATTTTTTTCCCATTTTTGGTCATTTTTTTTCTGTTTTTTCCCATTTTCCCGGGATTTTGCCCCAATTTCCCCGGGATTTCTCTGGAATTCCAGGGTGGATGTGGCTCACCCCAAACCCTCAATTTCCCCTTCATTTTTTACTCCATTTTCCCCATTTTTATTTGAGTTTTCCCCATTTTTTTACCGTTTTCCTCCATTTTTTTTCCATTTTTCTCCATTTTTTTTCTGTTTTTTCCCATTTTCCCGGGATTTTGCCCCAATTTCCCAGGATTTCTCTGGAATTTCAGGGTGGACGTGGCTCACCCCAAACCCTCAATTTTTAATTACATTTTCCCCATTTTTATTTGCATTTTCCCCATTTTTTGTCATTTTTTCTCCATTTTTTTTCCATTTTTCTCCATTTTTTTCTGTTTTTCCCATTTTCCCGGGATTTTGCCCCAATTTCCCAGGATTTCTCTGGAATTGCAGGGTGGACGTGGCTCACCTCAAACCCTCAATTTCCCCTCAATTTTTAATCACATTTTCCCCATTTTTATTTGCATTTTCCCCATTTTTTGTCATTTTTCCTCCATTTTTTTTCCATTTTTTGTCATTTTTTTCCCGTTTTTTCCCATTTTCCCGGGATTTTGCCCCAATTTCCCAGGATTTCTCTGGAATTCCAGGGTGGACGTGGCTCACCCCAAACCCTCAATTTCCCCTCAATTTTTAATTACATTTTCCCCATTTTTATTTGCGTTTTCTCCATTTTTTATCATTTTTCCTCCATTTTTTTTCCATTTTTGGTCATTTTTTTTCTGTTTTTTCCCATTTTCCTGGGATTTTGCCCCAATTTCCGAGGATTTCTCTGGAATTGCAGGGTGGACGTGGCTCACCCCAAACCCTCAATTTTTAATCACATTTTCCCCATTTTTATTTGCATTTTCCCCATTTTTTATCATTTTTCCTCCATTTTTTTTTCCATTTTTTTTCTGTTTTTTCCCATTTTCCCGGGATTTTGCCCCAATTTCCCCGGGATTTCTCTGGAATTCCAGGGTGGACGTGGCTCACTCCAAACCCTCAATTTCCCCTCAATTTTTAATTACATTTTCCCCATTTTTATTTGCATTTTCCCCATTTTTCATCATTTTCCCTCCATTTTTTTTCCATTTTTCTCCATTTTTTTCTGTTTTTTCCCATTTTCCCGGGATTTTGCCCCAATTTCCCGGGGATTTCTCTGGAATTTCAGGGTGGACATGGCTCACCCCAAACCCTCAATTTTTAATTACATTTTCCCCATTTTTTTACCGTTTTCCCCCATTTTTTATCATTTTTCCTCCATTTTTTTTCCATTTTTCTCCATTTTTTTTCTGTTTTTTCCCATTTTCCCGGGATTTTGCCCCAATTTCCCGGGGATTTCTCTGGAATTTCAGGGTGGACATGGCTCACCCCAAACCCTCAATTTTTAATTACATTTTCCCCATTTTTATTTGCATTTTCCCCATTTTTTGTCATTTTTTCTCCATTTTTTTTCCATTTTTCTCCATTTTTTTCTGTTTTTCCCATTTTCCCGGGATTTTGCCCCAATTCCCCCAGGATTTCTCTGGAATTTCAGGGTGGACGTGGCTCACCCCAAACCCTCAATTTTTAATTACATTTTCCCCATTTTTATTTGCGTTTTCCCCATTTTTTATCATTTTTCCTCCATTTTTTTTCCATTTTTTTTCCGTTTTTTCCCATTTTCCCGGGATTTTGCCCCAATTCCCCCAGGATTTCTCTGGAATTGCAGGATGGACGTAGCTCACCTCAAACCCTCAATTTTTAATTACATATTCCCCATTTTTTTACCGTTTTCCCCCATTTTTTATCATTTTTCCTCCATTTTTTTTCCATTTTCTCCATTTTTTTTCTGTTTTTTCCCATTTTCCCGGGATTTTGCCCCAATTTCCCCGGGATTTCTCTGGAATTCCAGGGTGGACGTGGCTCACCTCCTGCTCTACCACCTCAGCGTCTGCTGCAAGAAGAAATATTTCGATTTGGAGCGGGAAATTCTCCCCTTCGCCAATTCCAACTGGGACGCGCTGCTGCTCGGCCCGGTCAGCCCAAAACGGGGCAAAAAACCCCGAAATCGGGAAAAAATCCACAACTGGGGGGGAAATATCGATTTTTGGGGAAAAAAATACCGGATTTGGGGAAAAAAACCCGGATTTTTGGGGAAAAATAGGGATTTTAGGGGAAAAAATATTGATTTTTGGGGGAAAAATTGTAATTTTTGGGGGGAAAAATTTCGATTTTTGGGGAAAAAAAGCACAGATTTTGGGAAAAAAATTCTGGTTTGGGGGAAAAAAGGGATTTTTGGGGAAAAATTATGGGTTTTGGGGGAAAAACCCCGGATTTTTGGGGAAAAAATATTGATTTTTTGGGGAAAAATTCTGATTTTTGGGGGGAAAAATTTCGATTTTTTGGGAAAAAAAGCACAGGTTTTGGGAAAAAAATTCTGGTTTGGGGGAAAAAAAGGATTTTTGGGGAAAAATCGTGGGTTTTGAGGAAAAAAACCCCAGATTTTTTGGGAAAAATTACAGGTTTGGGGGAAAAAAAATGGATTTGGGGAAAAAAACCTGGATTTTTGGGGAAAAACAGTGGGGTTTGGGGGAAAAGATGCTGATTTTTGGGGAAAAATCGTAAGTTTGGGGGAAAACATGGATTTTTGGGGAAAACTTGTGGGTTTTGGGGGAAAAAAAACGGATTTTTGGGGAAAAATCCTGATTTTGTTGGGAAAAATCCTGGGGTTGGGGGGGAAAAATTTCACTTTTTGGGGAAAAAATGACAGGTTTTGGGAAAAAATTCTGGTTTGGGGGGAAAAAATGGATTTTTGGGGGAAAATCGTGGGTTTTGGGGAAAAATCCTGATTTTTTGGGGGGAAATCCCAGGATTTGGAGGGAAAATATCGAGTTTTGGGGAAAAAATCCTGGGTTTTGGGGAAAAAAAAAAATCAAGATTTTTGGGTAAAAAATTGCAGGTTTTGGGGAAAAAAAATCTTGATTTTTGGGGAAAAAATCCCTGATTTTTGGGGAGAGAAAATATCCTGGGTTTTGGGGAAAAAAAACTGTTTTGGGGGGTAAAATCCTGATTTTGGGGGAAAAAATCTGAATTTGAGGGAAAAAATCTCAATTTTGGGGGAAAAATTCCCTGATTTTGAGGGAAACAAAAAATACAATTTTTGGGGGGTGGAAATCCTCTGATTTTTGGGTTGGACCCCAAAAAACAGGAATTGGAGCCCAAAAATGGGAATTTGGAGCTCAAAAATGGGAATTTGGAGCCCAAAAATGGGAATTTGGAGCCCAAAAAGGGGAAATGAGGCCTAAAAATGGGATTTTGGGCCCAAAAATGGGAATTTGGAGCCCAAAAATGGGAATTTGGACCCAAAAATGGGAATTTGGAGCCAAAAATGTGAATTTGAACCCCAAAAATGGGGAAATGAGGCCTAAAAATAGGATTTTGGGCCCAAAAATGGGAATTTGGAGCCCAAAAATAAAAATTTAGAGCCAAAAATGGGGATTGGAGTGAAAAAATGGGAATTTGGAGCCTAAAAATTGGATTTTGGAGCCCAAAAACGGGGATTTGGAGCCAAAAATGGGAATTTGGACACAAAAATGGGAATTTGGACCCCAAAAATGGAAATTTAGTGTCCAAAAATTGGAATTTGGACGCCAAAAATGGGAATTTAGATCCCAAAAATGTGAATTTGAACCCCAAAAATGGGGAAATGAGGCCTAAAAATGTGATTTTGGGCCCAAAAATGGGAATTTGGAGCCAAAAATAAAAATTTGGACCCAAAAATGGGAATTTGGAGCCCAAAAATGGGAATTTGGACCCAAAAATGAGAATTTGGAGCCAAAAATAAAAATTTGGACCCAAAAATGGGAATTTGGAGCCCAAAAATGGGAATTTGGACCCAAAAATGAGAATTTGGAGCCCAAAAATAAAAATTTGGAGCCAAAAATTAGGATTGGAGTAAAAAAATGGGAATTTGGAGCCCAAAAAGTTGGATTTTGGAGCCAAAAAATGAGAATTTGGAGCCAAAAATGGGAATTGGAGTGAAAAAATGGGAATTTGGAGCCTAAAAATTGGATTTTGGAGCCCAAAAATTGGAGCCAAAAATGGGAATTGGAGTGAAAAAATGGGAATTTGGAGCCTAAAAATTGGATTTTGGAGCCCAAAAATGGGATTTTGGAGTCCAAAAATGGGAATTTGGGCCCAAAAATGGGAATTTGGAGCCCAAAAATGGGAATTTGGACCCAAAAATGGGAATTTGGAGCCCCAAAATGGGAATTTGGATCCAAAAATGGGAATTTGGAGCCCAAAAATGGGAATTTGGAGCCAAAAATGGGGATTGGAGTAAAAAAATTGGAATTTGGAGCCCCAAAATTGAATTTTGGAGCCCAAAAATGGGAATTTGGAGCCCAAAAATGGAAATTTAGTGTCCAAAAATGGGAATTTGGAGCCCAAAAATGTGAATTTGGAGCCCAAAAATGGGGAAATGAGGCCTAAAAATGGGATTTTGGGCCCAAAAATGGGAATTTGGAGCCCAAAAATAAAAATTTGGAGCCAAAAATGGGGATTGGAGTAAAAAAATGGGAATTTGGAGCCCAAAAATGAGAATTTGGAGCCCAAAAATAAAAATTTGGACCCAAAAATGGGAATTTGGACCCAAAAATTGGGATTTCCCCCTGAAATATTTGGTTTTTTTCCCCAAAATTCGGGGTTTTGTCCCAAACTTCGGGGTTTTTTGCCCCAAATTGGGTTTTTTCCCTAAATCCGGGTTTTTCTCCCCATTTTTTCCGCAGCTTTCGGGCACGCCGAGGTCGGAGCGGCGCGGGCGCCTCCTGGGGGCCCTGAGCAGCCACAAGGACAGGTCAGGACCCCAAAAACGGGGGGAGGGACCCCAAAAACCCCAGAAATTCCCCCAAAAACGAAACCGCGACCAGAAACAAAAAAAAAATCCCCAAAAAACACAAAAAAATTCAAACTGCCCCCCAAAAAAACCCTAAAAAAATCCCAAATCACCCCAAAAAAATATCTAAAAACGCCCCCCAAAAAACCCACCCCAAATACCCCAAAAAACCCCCGAAACAACTCCAAAAAAGCCCAAATCGCCCCAAAAAAGCACTGAAACCACCCC